CAGTGTGTTTGACTCTTTGTGACCCCAGGGACTGTAACCTGCTAAACTCCTCAGCCCAAGGAATTCTCCAGGTGAGAATTCTCCAGGCAAACTTTCCAATCCAGGGATCGGACCCAGCTCTCGAACCTAGGTCTCCTGCATTGCAGGCAGATTCTCTACCATCTGAACCACCTGGGGAGCCCCACTGGAAGCATGGTTCTAGGGAAAGCTAGTGGCGGGGGAACCTGAGAGAGCCAGTTCAAGGGAGCCTCATCCAGTAGTCTTGTGGCTTCAGACATCTGGTTAAGTGATTCACTGTGACTTGATTTCTGAGAAGTGATACGGACTGAGCCTCAGAATAGTTTATCCTGGCATAAAAGGAGGGCATATTTAGTTATCAGCTTCCATCCCCTCACTGGTCCACAGTTAGATCATGAAGTGCTAACTCACCCACCCCTCAGGGTGCTGTATGTATAGGCAACAAGATAGTTTCCATGGATTCTCACATTAGTATTAACAGGTAAGCGCTGGAGTGGGAGGTGGGAGATGAGGTCATTTGGGTTGTTCCTGCATGAAGCTGGAAAGAGCCCACCTAGAATTTGTTGCTACAGCAGTGGCTAGAATAGAGACAAGTGAGAGATATAATATCTAAAATGGTACATATAAAGTATTAGATACAGTCCAAAAGAGGCAGATAAAATATGTAATTCTCTCTTACAATTTACCAGCTCTCAAAATAATGAATTAGTTCCACTGAATCTGCAAGGTAACCAATTAGGGCTTTTTGGGTTTTTTAAAAAGTATTCTTATGACTCATATATATACATATATATTTATATATATTTGATATGTCTCAATTCATTGCAGTCATTTTTGTTATTAATGCTCAAATTTATCCCACTTTGGCCAGTGGGTGCTTCTATAAGTTGGCTTCTTATTTGATTTCATGCAAATCTATTCATTTTTGATAGCTTCCTTGCTTTCTGAATTGATAAGATACTCCCAGTCTTATTTGGGGTACTTTTTGCCTTTAATCTAAAATAAGTCACTTCTCCAAATAGGTCTAGTTCCTTTCAAAGAAAAATGGTATTTAGAGACCACAATCTGGAATCTAAGAGTGCTTAATCCTGCCAGATTGGTCACTGTTCAGTGAACATTTTGAACAACAGACCTTGGGAAAAAAATTTAAGAAAAGTTGTTCTAAATGACAATTTCAGTTCAAATTTAATATTGCTTAGCTTTGATCTTATATTTATCTTTTATATTAAAAGATTTGTAAGAACATTAACATAAATTATTGCTAACATTATGATTACTAAAAAGCAGTTTATGTTTTTTTAGCATTCTTTTCATCCTCAAGGTATATTCCTAAGACATGTAGAACCAAACAATTGTGTTTTAAAGTTACCTGATATAATTTCCCTTTATATGGGTAAGCCACCAACTTGATACCTGTGTTCCTTTTGTTGCATTTTGCTTTGTAAATGTTTAATTTTTCATAATCATAAAAATTTACGGCATCCCAGTCAAATCTACAAAACAAGATAGAGTCAGAGAAGTTTAGCTTCTATTCTTTACTTTCCAACTCGCTCCATCTCTCCCAAATTTAATAATTTATCTTTCCACTTAGAAAATACACAAATGTGTGTTCCTGCTTTCTTAGATTAACAGCAAGACACCATATTCACTATTATTCATCTTCCCAGCACTATGTTCCTGACAAACTACTGTTTATCTTTTTAAAAATTGTACTGTCCTAATGAAACTTAAAAGCTTTTGCACAACAAAGCAAACTATAAGCAAGGTGAAAAGACAGCCCTCAGATTGGGAGAAAATAATAGCAAATGAAGCAACAGACAAAGGATTAATCTCAAAAATATACAAGCAACTCCTCCAGCTCAACTCCAGAAAAATAAATGACCCAATCAAAAAATGGGCCAAAGAACTCAACAGACATTTCTCCAAGGAAGACATACAGATGGCTAACAAACACATGAAAAGATGCTCAACATCACTCATTATCAGAGAAATGCAAATCAAAACCACAATGAGGTACCATTACACGCCAGTCAGGATGGCTGCTATCCAAAAGTCTACAAGCAATAAATGCTGGAGAGGGTGTGGAGAAAAGGGAACCCTCTTACACTGTTGGTGGGAATGCAAATTAGTACAGCCACTATGGAAAACAGTGTGGAGATTTCTTAAAAAGCTGGAAATAGAACTGCCATATGACCCAGCAATCCCACTTCTGGGCATACACACCGAGGAAACCAGATCTGAAAGAGACACGTGCACCCCAATGTTCATCGCAGCACTGTTTATAATAGCCAGGACATGGAAGCAACCTAGATGCCCATCAGCAGACGAATGGATGAGGAAGCTGTGGTACATATACACCATGGAATATTACTCAGCCATTAAAAAGAATTCATTTGAATCAGTTCTAATGAGATGGATGAAACTGGAGCCCATTATACAGAGCGAAGTAAGCCAGAAAGATAAAGACCATTACAGTATACTAACACATATATATGGAATTTAGAAAGATGGTAACGATAACCCTATATGCAAAACAGAAAAAGAGACTCAGATGTATAGAACAGACTTGTGGACTCTGGGAGAAGGCGAGGGTGGGATGTTTCAAGAGAACAGCATTGAAACATGTATATTATCTAGGGTGAAACAGATCACCAGCCCAGGTTGGGTGCATGAGACAAGTGCTCGGGCCTGGTGCACTGGGAAGACCCAGAGGGATCGGGTGGAGAGGGAGGTGGGAGGGGGGACCGGGATGGGGAATACATGTAAATCCATGGCTAATTCATTTCAATGTATGACAAAAACCACTGCAATGATGTAAAGTAATTAGCCTCCAACTAATAAAAATAAATGGAAAAAATAAATAAATAAATAAAAATAAAAAATAAAAATTGTACTGTCCTGTAGATGCAATCTACTGAGTTCCTGGAATAACTTGTTGATAGGTACTCCCCAAAGTCTAAAGGGTAAAGAATCTGCCAGAAGTGCGGGAGACCTGGGTTCCATCCCTAAATTGGTAAGATCCTCCGGAGGAGGGCGTGGCAACCCACTCCAGTATTCTTGTCTGGAGAATCCTCATGGACAGAAGAGCCTGGCCAGCTAGAGAAAATGGGGTCTTAAAGTCAGACAGGACTGACTGCGTGCGCGCACAGACACATACACAGTCTAAACTAAATGAACTTGAGTTTTACTTATACCATTACTTCTGGCAAAGGTTTGTGTAAGGGAAGAGGGAAGGGGAGCTTGCCAATCATAAGCAAATCTGTCTTGACTGAATGAAGGTATGATCTTCCCATTAATTTTTTTTTTTTTTGGTGGTAAAATACACATTAAAAAAAAAATTGACCATTTAAACCATTAAGTTGTGCAACCAACATTTTTCAGAGTTCCAAATTGAAACTCTTCACCCATTAAACAGGTCCCCAAAACCATAGCAGGACCTTTAACAAGACTAAATGAAGACGCACCTGCTAGCCAGTTGCAGTCTTGGGCACTAGGAGGATTCTGCCTTTCCATCTGAGCAGGGATTCCAGTGGAGACTAAGCTAACTCTCGGTTAACGCTCCCGCCCTCACCTATTGTCCCAGCGGGAGGAACCGGTATTTCCGGATTGGGGCCTCAGACCCAGTGATCCCGGCTAAGGGTGAGGTTGGTGGAGGAGGGGAACGGAAACTAATCATAAAAGTTAACTTTCCATCAAAATAATTAACCTGTTTTCCCATCCCCCTCCCAACAAAAACAAAGACCCCCCCCCCCCGCCCCCGGCGCCGCCTCCAGCAAAAGTCGCCAATCGAACACCCACAATGGCCCCCAACCATCGTCCGCTGGTTTTTGAAAAAGCGGAGACGCTGACCAGTTCCTTGCCCACACCCGTGGAGAGGATCGAAAAGTCGACCAGGTCAAGAATAAAGCAAGCAGCACAGCGCATTCCACTAGCCCTTGGGCGGGAAGAAAGCTCAGCGGTAGTTTTGCAGAGAAGAAGAAAGCCAGACCAGTGAGCGCGCGGGCTGGAGTGACCAGGCAGGCATCCCCTGCGGCCGCAGCCCCTACCCCACCGCTGGGTGGCGTGCGTGAACCTCCCCGCCCCGCACCCGCCTCGGTCCTTCCAGACACCCCAAAATAAAGCTGCAAGAACCTGCGTTTCTCTCTCCCGGCTCGCAAGCTTGGCACCCTTGGGGGCTCGAACTAGACAGGCGACAGCCTCTGGCCACCCGAGTCCCCTCCGGGCCGCCGCTCTCTCCGGTCGCCGCCGCCCCAACCCCCCTGCCCCCACCCTGAATTTTTTTTTTTTTTTTCTTTCTCCCAAACCTCCAAACAGGAAATAGCTTGAGTCACAATAGCACACGGGAGCGGCGGCCGAGGCCACTCGCACCCGCCCATTCCCCGGGCCGCCTCCAGTACACCGGCTCCGCCAGGCGCCGCCGGCGACGCGCGGGGAGCGCAGGGGACATCGGCCCAGCTGTCGGCGTCGTGTCGGAGGCGCCCAAGCGCCGGCCAGAGCCGCCTTCACCCTGAGCCCGACCCCGACTACGCCAACTTCGGCCGCCACCAGCTTGCAGGCGAGTACCCTCTTCCCTCTCCCTCCCGACCACAGAGCGTCCGCGGGCGTCACTGCACGGCCCTCCGCGGGGCTGGGAGAGCCGCCCCCAGCGCCGCAGCCGCGCTCCGGCGCTCCGGGACACCTTGCTCGGTCTCGACTTCGGCTGGGGAGGGCTTTGCGGGGTGCTAGGGGGTGCTCTCTGGATTCGTCGCGCGGGCGGAGGAGGGTGGGGAGCGCGAGTAAACGCGAGCTGAGGTTACCCCACTTCCCTGTAGATTCGGGTTATACTTTCTTGGACAGTAACTTTTTTCTCCCTTTTCTGGGGATGCTTAACTGACTTTTGCCTCCCCGCTCCCTCCAGGGGATGACAGTCACAGGGTTTTCCTGCGGAATCGTCTAGAAGCGGGGCGGCTACAGGTGCCTGCGACCCACTTTCTTTCTCCTACCTGGCCCGGAGTTCTCTCTTCCAAGAGACGGGAAATGTTTCACTTTCTGTTGAGCTTCTCTTTAACCAGATTAAAAGGGCCTCTGAGTTTGTGTTGGAGCGGTCAACCTTGGCAGCGTCCGGAGGAGGCTTTACGCGGGCCGCGGTAGGCGCGGGCTGGTTGAGAGCAGGTGGGGGCTGCCTGCGGAATCCCCGCCTCACACCTGAGAGCCCGGAGATGCTCGTTAGCCCGGGAGCCCCGAGCTCCCACCTCCGCAGAATTTTGGAGAATTGTTTTTTCCCACTTTCTGACCCATTTGTAAGGGAGGGGCCGAGTTCGTCAACGTCCTGGGCGTTGTCAGTCTTCAAGGGCCACATTGCAAGGTTCTTCTATAGGGAGCTCGGTCAAAATTGAGTTGGACATCTTTGTGTTGGAGAAAGGCCACTGAATTCCAGGCATTCTTGGAGGCTGAGCAGGGTGTTTTCAAGACTGTTCTGAAGTCGGCTTGAGGGTTTTCTGCGAAACTACCGCTCAATCAGCTCTCCCGATCGCCTGCGGCTGTTTTCTAGTCCAGGGGTGGGTGCGGTTTCTTCGTACGCTGGGTGCAGTGAGACCTTCCATCTGGTTTCTAAAACAGCGCGTTTTTACGAAGGTTGTGAACAGCCCTCTGCCTTTCCCGGTGAGAGGACCGTGGTTCTAGAGCGGTTGGATGAATAGGGTGGCTGCTAGCGCTCTGGGGCCTTGCTGCTGTGAGTGTCGTCCACGGTCCAGCAACATCGGCAGCACCTGGGGCTTGTTGAAATATGGGATTTCAGAGCTACCTGGCCTGCTCAATCAAGGTCCTCGGGATCATTTGAGCATTATCGCTTGAGAAACACTGGCAGAAGATTTGTTGGGCAGAAGTGTTTTTGTCCAGTTTAAAGAAGTAATTTACAGTATATTTCCCTACATTTCCATCCTGTCCTATTTTGAACCTTCATTTTTCCAGACCAGGCCAAACACACTTAACAGCCTTATGGGCACAGCCCCTCCACCCCAGGGAGCTAGACACCTTAAGCAAGATTTGGACATGTGGTTAGTACACTAGCTATGTGTTTTTTGTTTCTAGATACCTTTATTATTATTGTGATAAAATACAACATAAAATTTGTCATTTTAGTAATTTTTTTTCTTCTTTTTTTTTTCACCACACTGTGTGATTTCCTGGTTCTTAGTTCCCTGACCAGGGATTGAACCCAGGCCCCAGGCGATGAAAGCCCAGAGTCCTCACCCAGGAAATTCCTAACCATTTTTAAGAGGACAATTCAGTGGCATTAACCACTATCACCATGTTGTGCAACCCTCACTGCTCTCTTTTTCCAGAACTTTTTCCTTGTCCCAAACAGAAACTCTGTACTTATTAAAGAGTACCCTCTCACCCCCTCTTCCCAGGCCCTGAGCTTCTGGCTACTGTTAATGACATTTTCTGTAGGGCACAGAGAAGGTTGAATAGCAATGTAGAGTAAAAGTAAAATCATGTTTACAGAATATGGATAAACATTTGGAAATTCCTGGGTTGCTGACCTGATGGACTTGGCACCGAAAGTCCAGGTTTTTAAAATGCATGTACTTTCTTTGAGGGAGACGACCTGAACCTATGAGGCCTTCCTTTTTGGTGTGACTGGAGCACTTCATTTAACTGGCTTTATTTTGGGTGTCCTGTTTATATTGGGCTTAGTTTTTTAATAGTGACTTAAACTCATTTTTGAAAGTAGTTGGAATAAACCTTAAGAAAAAGTATTGTTGCTTGGGGTATATATATGCAAATCACAGCAAGACTTCAGAAAGATTTGAAATGATTTTCTAAAAGACCCCAAACTATTTGAATTCTGCTTTAATGTTAAGTGAGTCTAATGGTCCAAGGACATTGTTTCCGGTTCTAAAAATGTTTGTATATAATTTGGGAAAGCTTTGTTGTTGTTTTAATTGAAGTATAGTTGATTTACAATGTTGTATTAGTTTCAGGTATATAGCAAAGTGATTCAATTACATATATTCTTTTTCAGATTTTTTTCTATTATAGGTTTTTGCAAGATATTGAGTATAGTTCACTGTGCTATACAGTAGGTCCTTTTTGTTTATTTTGTATATAGTAGTATATATCTGTTAATCCCGAACTCATAATTTATAGAGAAGCTTTGTAATAATGAATGTCATCCTCTTGCATCTGCTTAAAATGGTCCAGGTTGCAATTTGAGGACATGCTTTTCAATGAGAACAGAAATGTGAATCAGAAAACTAGTAAAAATGGTTTCATTCATGATCTAACAAAGACACTGTTACAGATCAAGAATGTGGTTCAGAATACATAAGTGATCAGAGCTATTGGGAAGATTTAATACTGCACGGTCTAGACTTTGAAACAAATAAAAAGATGAGCCCAAACTGAAATAAATTCCAAAAGAGCAAAGAAATCAACAGCAAAGGATTCTTTCTATGGTACTACAAGACCTCTGATTAGTTAGATCATACTTGGCTTTATTTTAGGCATTGGGATAACTAGTCCAGCTCCCAGGAAAATCAAGTCATGAGCAATCTCCTTTTTGAGACCAGTCAGCAGTGCTACCTCTGCATATCAACCAGATGGTCTCTACGTAGTACCCCGAGATGCTACACAGTATGGAAAGAAGGGCACAGGATTCAGGTGCAGAAGAACTGATATTTACCCTGACCAACTGACAGCAGGAGTAAGCCTCATCAACTCGGAGCCACCATGTCCCTAAATATATAATTAGGGAGACAGTTGTCTCTCTCTGAGATTATGTAGTAAGGACTCAAAAGGACCTTATTTATAAAAGTGCTTGTAAAAAAAAAAAAAGTGCTTGTAAACTGTAAAATGATAATAAAAATTTCTTACTTTCATTTGGGAGAAATTTACAGTGCAAAAGAGACAGAAGGAGTCACATATTTGGGGTATCTAACACTTTTTAGTTAACTGAGTTTGTTTGTAATTTTCTTCTAGCTTCAAGGTCATGTTTTTGTGTGTGTGTGTGTGTGTGTGTGTGTGTGTGTGTGTGTGTGTGTTTGGCCATGCTGTGAAGCTTGTGGGATCTTAGTTCCCCAAGCCAGGGATTGAACCCACACCCTCTGCAGTGGAAGCACAGCATCTTAACCACTGAAGCACCAGGGAAGTCCTCCTCTAGGTCATTTTTTAAAAAACAGTTTTATTGAGATGTAGTTCATATACCATACAATTCACCAATAAAGTGTACAATTCATTGGTATTGAGTATATTCACAGAGTTGTGCAACCATCACCATAATCAATTTCAGAACATTTTTATATCCCTAAAACTAGCACTACTCCTTCCACCCCTTAGCTGACCCCTTCTAATCTCCTGCCTCCCCCAACCTAAATAACCACTAATCTACTTTCTGTCTATAGATTTGCCTATGCTGGACAGTCTATATAAGTGGAATCATACAATATGTGGTTTTGTATTCTGACTTCTTTCATTTAGCATAATGTTTTCAAAATTTATCTACATTGCATCATGTATCAGAGCTTTCTTTTTATTGCCAAACAATGTTCTGTTGTAAGTGTACCACATTTTGTTTATCCATTTGTCTGTTGATGGACATTTGTGTTGTTTCTACTTTTTGCCTGTTATAAATAATGCTGCTCTGAACATTCATGTTTTTATGTGGACATATGTTTTCATTTTGGGGGGGTACATACCTACAAGTGAAAAACATATGTTAATTCTATATTTAACATTTTCAGGAACTGCCAGACTGTTTTCCAAAGTGACTGCACCATTTACGATCCCAACAGCAATGTGTGAGAGTTTCAGTTTCTCTAGATTTTTTTCCTTAGCCATCCTAGTTGGTGTGAAGTAGTTTTGATTCACACTCCTCTGATGGCCAATGGTGCTAAACATCTTTTCGTGAGCTTATTTATCAAGCCATTCTTTTTTTCCAATCATTTTCTAAGGAAAACATCTAGATAAAGGAAGAGGAAAATCAGTTTTATTTAGATTCCCTAGTTTCAGTGGTCTAGGAAAATACTGAAAATGTAAATTGCTTTGCTCTTCTTAAATTTATTTTGGTTTTGACTCATCTTTTTATTTGCCTTGAAGCCTAGTACCTATAGTACTTGATGTTCCAAAGGATTTGAGTGAAGAATTAATACATGGATTCTTGGAGGTGATGGGGAGTAAGTAGACAGGGACTTAGTATTATATATGCCAATACAATGCCCCCTAAAAAATCATGCACCACTCAAATGTTAATAACGCACCAAAAAATAAATGTACTTGTGCTGATGGTGGACATTTTAAACACTTGAACTAAAATATTGTTTGATATTCTGTTGATTAACATCTGTCCATTCTACTTACTATATAAGAATATACAGCTCATATTCATAGATTGTAGCTTTTATTAGGTGATCTTTTTAAAAATCTTTTAAAATTTTTATTCATTTTTTGTGTGTGTGTGGCTGTGTTGGGTTTTCATTGCTTGGCACATGTTTTCTGTAGTCACAGCGAGCAGGGGCTATTCTTTGTTGCGGTGTGTAGGCTTCTCGTTGCGGAGCAGAGGCTCCGGGCTCCAGGCTTCAGCACTTGTAGCTCACTGACTCAGTGATTGTGGTTCACAGGCTTAGTTGCATGTGGAATCTCACGAGACCAGGGATCAAACCCGTCTCCCCTGCATTAGCAGACTATTGCTTTTATTTTCATATACTTCGAGTAGGCTGATGGGCGTTTTGGCATGAGTTTGTACATTTCTGTTCTTTCTTTCCCAGGCTGCATGGCAGCGTGTTTTCTCTATAGCCATGTGGAGAATCATCTTCATGGTCTACAGTTACAAATGGATCATGAATTTTTAAAATACCTGTAGGCATTTTAGAGGCCCACTATATTGGACTGGGGTTGTATGTTTGGATCTTATATTACTGGTGAATGTAGAGAGCAGTAAGGGAAATAGAAAAATCAGCCAGATTTAGAAAATTACTTCCATGTCCTTATTCCTTAGAATAAGCAAATGGAAGTGTGTGGCTCAGTGGTCCTCACACACTGGCTGTATCTGAATCACCTGGAAACTTGTTAAAACATACATTGCTGACCACCCCCAACCCCGAATTTGGTTCTTGAGTTAGTCGATCTGGAATGGGACCCTGATAATCTGCATCTCCAATAAGTACCCAGGTGAGGCTGAATGCTGCTGGTCTGGAGGCCTCACTTAGAGATCCAGTGGACTGGAGGCATTTGGAA